AGGTGACGGCATCTCTTATTATAATTGGTAAGGAGACTCAAGCTTGTCTATCACTTTTTTCCAATGAAATAAGGAATCTTTCAGTGCAATTCTCATCAGGCATTAAGGTCAAGTTCCGGCAGAACACATATAAGCGTGATAAATGTGTTGGATGAGCAATGCTGCTGTGCAAGTTATCCATGATCTCTGAGAGAGAAATCATTGCATTTAGCTTCTTGTGTCAGTTTTGAAAGATGCACCAGAACTCTGGGCTGACATTGGAATTGCTTTAGAAACCTGCTTCCCTAGGATAAAATTTGTAGGGCGTAGCAAGGGCTCAGGGAAAGATACTTTTCTGATGGGGTGACCTTGGAGAAAGATCTATTGATGAAACTATAATCTTTAATGTTGTAAAATGCCACAGGAGCACAGGTGTGGGAACCTCTTCTTTGACCTTACAATGAGCATGGTTCTCCTCCAAAGAAAGTTTACAAAGGATGGCAGGTGACACCACGTTAACATATGGCTCCAGGCACCACAATATTACATTATAGTCCTGAATACTGCAGTATAAACCCATGACTGCCGGGGGGAGCCACCCACAATTAAGATTATGTTTAATCTTCTCCAGCACCAACATTTGCTTTGATTGCATCCTTTGTCAGGAAGCTGTTGAAACAGATGAGCCCCACAAAATACTGTGAAGGGGAACAAATGTAGGAGGATTTAGGATATAGCACATGGTAAGGAAGAGAGAAAACCTCTCCAGAGTTTTAGCTCAGTAGATTGTCCCATTTGTTAGCTAATGGTGCTGAAAAACAGCCAGGAGATCTGAAGTGCTTCAGCTCTCAGTAAGGTTTCCTATTCTATCCTTATAAATGGAAAATTGAAAGTGAGTGGCTGCTGGATGCTGAATTGCCAGTGCCAAGCACTGGTGATATGCTGGAAGGTATCAACAAAATTATCATTGATGTATAAGCAATGATTTAGATTTGTAAGTCATCTGGCTAAATGAAAGATTCAACTGCAATTCTTTTTGGATTTCGGTACCTACTAGAAAAATAGACTGAAAACACTTAGTATGATAAGAATTCATCTCTGAACCAACAGCACAGGTGGACCTACTCTGCGAGCTGCAGACAGAAAGTCTGCAGAGGACCAGAGCTGTTATGTGAGTCTGGAAGACAGATTTAATTTTGGAGATATCAGTGGGATACTAAATGCAGAAACCCCAGACATCATCTTTCTCATTCCGGTTTGCCTTCACAGGAACAGGAATGTGCCAGTCCTTAGTAAATAAGCAAACTTACACCAAGAAATAGTAAATTTGTGTAATCAACTTTTTCACATACACAGAAATAGTCTTCCAAAACTGATGATTCAGACCTAGAGGGAATGGTATTTTCAATGAGAGCAGCACAGCTGCAATTGTACACAAATAAGTGAGTTGCTTTTACTGAGGGAAGTGCTGACAGTGGTCCCCAAAGGCAGAGGTTGCTTTCCCCTGTGGACTTTTTATGGTGGAAAGAGAAGGGGCCTCGAAGTATCAAATTAAGGTGTTTCACAAGCTGACTAAATTTCAGATAGGGCAGCTGGCAGAAATGCTCTGATTCAAACATGGAAACTTTTCTCCTTCAGCCTATTTATTTCTCATTTTGATACTTGGATCACTTCTACACCCGGACCCTACTTCTATTTCCACCAAAGTATATAGGGCTGGAATGCACATATTTTTAATGTTAAAAGAACAGCTAAAACAACACAACTCTGCCTGTAGCTGATGTTAAAACTTTAAATATAAATGAAAAATTAAAGAATTGCAACTTGATCAACAGGTACTTGTTTTTGAAATGTCCCAGAAACATGCTTTTAGTAGAAGAGGATACTGCAAAACTGAATTGGAGTGGTCACTATAGTGAAATCACTTCTGATAGGAAATGGCAAGTGGTACCTTCACCATGTTTAAGGAGAGGAATATGGGCTGTATCAGCTCAGAATAGGTACAAAATATTTCTATATATATTTGTGAGTTATGCAAGGTACAGAGAAAACATGTGGGAGGTGCATGCAAGAGAGAGCAGCAGAGGAACTGAGCTCCTAGCCCATCTTTCTAATCTGCTTTAAAATAGTCTCCCTTCTTCACATCAAACTGTCTGTTCAGTGTCACCATAGTGATGCTGCTCACTGGCCACCCAAATCTGCCTCATAGCTTCCTTCAGGAGTTCCAGCACTGAGAAATCCTGGACGGATCCCTCCCTCATAGCCCAAAGGGCAAACCTCTCCTGACAAATCAGCCTTTTCATTAATGACTTCACTCCCCAGCCTCTGCTCAGCATCCCCGGTCCTTGGCAGGACACTGCAATGCCACTACACAGCAAGCAGTGCACAGGCTACCAAGGCAGAAGGAGAGAAGCACATTTGATACCCTAAGTTGTGTTTTTGTCAACTGTCTCCCATTCATAAGCACAGGATTTGAACACAGAAAATGGAATTATCATGTTTTCCTGGGAAGCAGTACTCTATGTCCATGGTGTCTCCCTACAGTCTCAAAGCCCCTGTGAAAAGAGCTTCACAGGCACTGCCTTGTGAGGAGGGAAAGACAATTGATGAAGGTAGGTGGCTGCCACCCATGGGCATCCCTTACCAAGCAGTGTCCCTCTATTCCCGGATAGAGCAGTAATGTGGGGATGAGTGTTCTGTGTACTCCAACTCAGGTGGGGTTCCCACCATCTCCTCCTTTCATATCCCTGACCACTTTCAGGCCAGTGCCATCAACACAAAGTGGCAGGCAATAAACAGTGTAATGGTCATGCCTATTCCCAATCCTTGCCTTCTCTTATTGTCCCTTTACTTCTTCAGGGCCTGATCCTCTGCTGTGCCATCACTGATTGCAGTTTCCCTCACTAGTAGCACTGTAACAAGTGCTTAAGTGATAGAAATAGAAAGCCTGTGTGCTCTTTGCAGGGGAAATCAGTTCTCTATGTGCAGTGTTGAAATAATTTTTCCTACCTTTTTAACCTTGTTGATGTATCAGAGTCACACAGATTCCTGAGACAGAGGAGATATAAGGTGAAGGGTGATGCCATTTGCAGAAACCAGCTCCTATGAAGGAGTCAAGGGGATGAGAACATTCTCCCTGTGTTTAGGGTAAATCCACTGTAGCTCTGTCCCAGGTTAGTTTCAGAAAACCATGTAGAGAGCCCCATTTACAACCCTTTCCTTTGGGTAACGCAATTGTTCCTGATAGCATTGAAGGGCTGTTGAAAGCAGTTTGTTTTAGTATGACTTCATAAAAGACTGTCATAAAAACTAGAAGGAGCAGTGGGGAACAACGGGGGTTTATTGTTTAGGTATCTCAGGAGCACTGGAAAAGATCAAAGTTTGATTCTTGGCTGTGCTGATGACCTTCGGTAAATCACTCAGGAACAGGCTTGGAAAAGGCACTGTATTGTTTAGGAAGTTTTTCAGAGTCAATGCCTCAGTGGGAACCAGGGGGTTCAGGGCATGGTTGAAAGCACGTTCTTCAATTCCTGAAGGGAAACAGAGACCTTTCCAAAGTTTCATAGTGATTGTGAGTGCCGAGCGAATCCTAATCTGAATTTAGAACCTTCAGAGAATTTTATTTCATCTTTCTCTTTCTCTTTTTCCCCCAAGTGTAAAACAGGTAAAACAAATATTTTTCTAGTGTTATAAGGATAAATGTGTGAATATTTGCTGAGATACCATGACAGCAGAAACCACAGAAGTAAAAAAGATGGATATTGCATTTAAAAAAATCCCAAGTCCTGTTTTTATCCAAATGGTGGATTAGTAATGAAAACAATGGAAGTCAACTCAACTGAATTATTAACAACACAGCCATTTATGTCACAAATGCCACCTTTTTGTCTGATAATGATTTCCAGTGGGACAGTATCAACATTTTAGATGCCCTCTATACATTTGAATAATATTTAGTAAATTACAGTACTAAGTCTGATACAGAAAGTACTGCTGAACACAGTCAACATCATTACTTCTCGTAAAGTTACCTGAAAATATATTTTCTGGACCTGTTTAATAAACCACAGGTGATAAGCAAACTAGCTTACTTATGGAGGAGGAAGCTTGTTTTCCATTGACACATCACTAAATTCTACTGAGAGAGTCTGTAGTTCAGACTACTTTGATAGCAGAGAGACCTTTAATGGTGCATCTGACCCATTACTGATTTATGAGAGAAAAATGTTGGGATAAATATGAATAAAAAGCTGTCCTTTCACACAATTTGGTACAGCAACATGGAAATTGTACTAGGGTAAACAGCTGCCTTGCAATAAACATGTTCATCCATTAGTCAGTGTTAAATCTTAATTGTTGCTTATTTCAATTTCTTTGTGCTAAGTGTTTCTAAATTATAAATAACCCTGCAACTCTAATAATAGTACATCCTCTGTTAAGGAAAAAGTAAGTACAGAAGTAAATTATTGAAGTGATCTATTTAACTATTACCACACAATTTATCTCAGGATTGGGAGGTTAAGGCAGCCACTTTGACATATTTGAAGGATATTGGCAAGGAGTCTATGGACAAGTCACGCACCTTTGTTGTATAACTAGACTTTGCGTATGTGTCTTTATTTACAAAATTGTTACAGCATTATCTTTACTCTGAGGCTTGATTTTTCTCCTTTTAAAGTCATTAGCAAACTGTCCTGACCTTAGTGAGAGTAAAATCATATCCTAAGTACATACATCATCGCTGTGTCCTCCCTTTGATCCGAGCACAGAACTGTGATTAACATTAAAGAGAGCAAGTCCAACCATAGGCATTTTCATGCTCTGAGCAAGCATCAAACATGAGACTCCTCCTTGTCATGTCTCTTCTTTTTCTCTTTCATGTCTCTCTTATTTATGTATTTACCTTAATTTGCTTGCAAGCGAGTCTTTTTTGCCTTAAGGAGGGGTGGTTTCATGATTAAGGCATCTCACATCTTCATGTCTCCTTTTGCCTTTTCTAATTCCTTCTATCTCTTCTTTAGAGGTCCAGTGGAAAGACTTGGCTTGTTCTTCACTGGCTTGTGGGACAGCAGTTTATGTTTGGCAATGGATCAGAAGGACTGAAGAGCACTTCTGCTCCCACCAGTGTTTCTTGGAGCTGCTAAAACAGGACCGATGAAGATGTTGACCAGACTCCAAGTCCTTGCGCTAGCTTTTTTTTCCAAAGGAGTTTTCCTTTCCCTAAGTGACCACAGCTTTGTAAGGAAGGAAATTAAGATAGAAGGAGACCTGGTCTTAGGTGGTTTATTCCCAATCAAGGAGAAAGGCACTGGGATAGAAGAATGTGGAAGAATCAATGAAGACCGAGGCATCCAGCGCTTGGAGGCCATGCTGTTTGCTATTGATGAAATCAACAAGGACAACTACTTGCTTCCGGGAATTAAGCTTGGAGTTCACATCTTGGACACGTGTTCCAGGGATACATATGCCTTAGAACAGTCTTTGGAGTTTGTCAGGGCATCTTTGACTAAAGTGGATGAAACAGAGTATATGTGCCCTGACGGCTCGTATGCCATCCAGGAGAATTTGCCATTGCTCATTGCAGGAGTCATAGGCGGTTCCTATAGCAGCGTCTCCATACAGGTAAGTCACAGGAGCACCATCAGGTGAGAGCTGTTCATCTGCAATTCCAGTGAGAGAACCACTGCTTATTTAAGTTTGTCAATACAGCAAGTCTAAGCTTGATCACTTTCCCGTAGGGGTCATTCTAGCATATGATTTTTACTGAATTGGTATTAGTTTGACTCACTCTTCAAAACACCTGCTGTAGTTTAAACCTCTGACAACTGTCCACTTCCTCTAGTTGTGGTGTATCCTGAGGGCATCTGAAGTTTCCATAAGTATTTATTTTGAACTTTGCATTTCCTAAAACTTTTAAGCCTCTAAGTGCAGATCTCTGCTTTCACATCAATCATAAATGATACAACCTATGTTTCTGAATATATGTGTACCTGCCATGCTGCATGAATGCAACAGTTGTCATTTAAACAATATAGGTTTGAAATAAAAGAATAAATCCTTATCTTACTTCCACTCACTAGTGGGGTTCCCCATGGTTCAGTTTTGGGACTAGCCCTGTTTAATATCTTTATTGTTAATCTGGATCAAGGACATTCTCAGTAAGTTTGTGGATGACAATAAAGTGGGCAAGAATGTTGATCTGCTGAAGGGCAGGAAGGTTCTGCTGAGGTATCTGGACAGGCTGGATCAATGAACTGAGTGGTATGAGGTTCAGCAGGGCCAAGTGCTGGGTCCTGCACTTGGGTCACAACAACCCCCAGCAGCAGTACAAACTTGAGCAGAGTGAGTGGAAAGCTGCCTGGCAGAAAAAGAACTGGGGATACTGTTCAACAACCTGTGGAACATGACCCAGCATGTGACCAGCTGGCCAAGAAGGAAAATGGCATCAGTGTAGTTAGGGCTGAGGAAATGGCAAAGATATTTGCCATTCCCTCCCAGTAACCCTGGGGGAGTCAGGCCACACTTCTGAAGTGTCCTGTGGCCTCTTGCACAACATCTGTCAATCTGTCCCTTTGAAACCAGTCTCTGGTGATCACTGATCTAAGAATAAATCCATATCTAAGGCAGTAGAATATAATAATACAATGTATATAGAAGTTTCATATTCCAAAATCTTTGGTTTGAAGCAGCTGTCCAATGGAAATTGGAAGTCTTGATAAGAGACTTTCTCATTCAGTAGATGTAAAAATGGCAGTGTAGGTGTATGCCTATCTGTATGTCATTCAATTTTTTCAAAACCTATGAAGGATGATGAAACAATAGTTATAGTTGCTAATACTCTATGATCTGTACAGCTTCCCTGTGGTTGCCAATAGTTGTTCAAACAAAGGATCTGTAACACAGTTCTTCAGAAAGAAAAAAATTAGTTTCACAAATCTTTCTACATGTCATTGAGCATTTTCCAACTAGGAAAGAAGTATTCAGTTGCTTATTTTCCTTTGGTATAGATTGTGTTGGCCCTCCTTCAGTCTCTCTTTTCTAGCTTTCCCATAGATTTCACACTATCTAGAAATGATGTAATTAAGCCATTCACTCCTGCTGCTCGTCCTGTTAAGTTAGCCAGTCAAAACTTCTATTTCACAAGAAAATCCTTGTCAGGAATAATAGACATTGAAGAGTCCAGCCTGAAGCTGTAAGGACTTTGAAGCATTAAAGCCAGGCATTTTGGTGCCACGCCAGAAGAAGAAACTACCCAATTTCAAAGCCACTCACCTGTGCAGAGTAGCTCCAGTAACAACTATAATTGCACCACTGCTGAAAGTCAAAATACTTCATCAGGTGTGTGTACAAGGCTCAGCATCTTCATTCCCTGTGTTTTCAAGCAGCACTGGGGATGCTGGATGCTTCCAGATGTAGCCCTGTCAAACATTTCTCTTGTGCTCAGAGCTATAAACATCATAGAGTCCACAATGCAGTTTCTTAGCCTTAAAATAAAACATGCTGAGTTATTCACACAAAAATTATTTCTGTTTTTTTTCTTTCCTTCTTTTTCTTTATATTTCAATACATTATCTTCCCCTCCTGTCACCTTCCCTCTCCTGTTTTTTTTTGTCTGGACAGCTGTCTGCCAAATCATTTCATGATGCTCCTGCTGTCAGATTTCTACTTCTTTCATTATCCTTCCACTAAGGAAAAAAGAATTTGCTGGTAAATCAGCAATGAACACCTTCCCCACTGAGTCAGTATGTGCGATAGGCACTTTTTGCAGAGTCTGAAAACAACAAGAGAATGCAGAATGCTTAATTATTTTCTGGTCAGACTAAGCTATTATCATTAATGATGATCTGGATAATTAGTTTTTAGATGTTGTGTTTAAATTAGCAGTGAGCCCAATCTGTACAGCATTTGATCTCTCAAAACTCAAGCCAGGATTTTCAGTCAATGGAAAACTCATGATGAAAAAAAGGTAAAAAAAAAAAGCTCTTTTCATGAAATAAAATTCTGACTTGAGCTGAATCTGTGATCAGGAGGAGAATGCTTCAACATTTGGAGGGTTTTCTTTTGGGTTCATGGCTTTTCGTCTGATGTAGGTTATCCACTCTTTCCTAGTTTACAACAGAAATTTCAAACGTTTTCCTCGGAGATGTTCAATGACATTGTAAAAAGGATAAGAGAAAAACAGTGTTCATTTGCAGAGAAGCACCTGCATAGCCAATCCCAATGCCATATTTAAAATACTTAGGTCAGTTCTTGTCAGGAATATGTTTGTGGAAGCAGGAATGCAATTATTCAAGTGCTAGATTTGTTCTTCTCTATTTCTGAAAACATTTTCATCTTCTAAAAATGAAGACTGAGGTCCAGTCCCTGCAGTGATCTCTTAGAAAAATTAAGATATTATTTTAGGTGGGCTGGGCTTTGATTTTCTGTATCCACTCTACTCATGTGTTGGAAAGATTTTTTTATGCTACCAGCTCACAAGACCTCCAGATCACGGTCATGAAAGTTATTTCCAAGTTAGAGCCTCATCCAGTAAAAATGGCAGAATAGAAACGAGTGCCCAGCTGTCTTCTCTTCAATTCCTTGCTGTGTCTGAAGTAAACTCTAAGAAAACCATTGGAGAAGGTTTAACAGTACATTACCGCTATCACAAAAGCTAAAGCCACTCCTAAGTGAGTGACCATCTGGCATGAAATTCAGAGTATATACTCATTTACTGGCAGTCTTTTCCTGGCTGTCATTTCTGCTTAGCCACAAAAGTCTGCCAAAGGCTCATGGAGCCTGAAAGCTAATCACATCCATTTCCTTCCTCCAAGGATAAACCATCTTTCAAACAGAGTCTTAACGATAGCTTGTGACTTCCATAACCACTGAAAATAGTGCAAAATCCTTAGAAGAGCTACATGCAAAGAGACTCCCAGAACATATGGGGTTCTGTCCCACTGTGCGTGGACCCAGCAGGGATACTGGCAGAAGCAAAATGCAGGGAGCTGCAGGGATTTCACCAGGAACCTCAGTTCACACACGCCATTTGTGCTCTGCTTATGGACAAGCTTTGCATTCAATTGTGAAACAACAGCCTCTCCTGATTTTGTGCTTGAAAACTAAGCCAAATCCTTATTAAAAGATCTACTCTGTGAGACGGACCACCTACGACTAGCGTTTAAGCCACACATGCCCTTGCCAACTTCCATGTGTCTCCTTTAAACTCTCTCCCTCCTTTATCTTTGTTGTGTCTCTCTCTCTGCTACCTCTCAGCCAGATCCTTGCTGTTTGTTCCTCTCTTTGTTTCTTCTATTCCACATTCAGAAGCTGAACAGCCACTAGGTTGCGATTTGCAAAGTGCCCAAAGAGCACTGGATATTTCTTTCCTAGAGGTTTCAAAGGAATGAGGGTACCTCCCTCTGGCTGGCTTCTTTGAAAATCCCACTGTAACTGACTCCTTTGTAGTCTTTTTGATTTGGGCTTGGGATTTATTTTTTTCTTCAGAGTGACCATTTTCTCTTTTTGCCAAGGGGAAATTATACGATTTTACAGGGCTGGGTAAGTAGCCCCTGAGATCACAGGTATGAAGGAGGAAGCCCTACCAAAGAATAATAGAATTATGAAGATTTGAAAAGACCTCTAAGATAATCAACTCCAACCATTAACCCAGGACTGCCACTAAACCATCTACAGATTTTTTGAACATTCCTGGGATGGTTATTCCACTACCTGACCACCCTTTCAGGGATGAAATTTTTCATAATATCTAATGTAAACCTGCCCTGGCACAACTTGAGGCCCTTTCCTTTTGTCCTATCACTTGTTAACTGAGAGAAGAAAATGAGCCCTTTCAGGTAATTGTAGTGAGCAGTCAAGTGTTCCAAGGATGTAACTACAAGAGAAAGTAGACAGAAGTAAGAACAATCTAAGGATATCTGAACATCACCTACACTCATTCTACCCCTTCTGACTAGGACTTACACATCAGTTAATGAGTCTCAAATAACCATGTTTATCAGTGATAGCTTTTTAAACTTCAGAAACAATTTCGTGCTTTTAGAACCATCAATCCCAGTTTAAGTATTTTTTCTGATCATTTGTAAATGTGACATGAGTCACTCACAGTCAGGTTTAGGAAGTCTTGGAGAACAGTTGCACTCCTCATGCAAAGCAAAGTCTTCTGCACAGGTCCCTTCTCAAGGTGCCAGCTTAGTGCTCAGCACTCAGCTTACTTCAACAGTTAATGCTGTGTGGAGGCAGACTGCATATGTGACAGCTCACTGTGCCATCCCCTGCAGGAAAAAAAGGAAAAAAGATTTCCAAAAAAATTCTTCTCTGAAAGCACATTTCTCTGCATGCCCTCCCTGGTTTGCTTTTTATTATACAGGACAGACATGCATATAAGAAGAAATTCCCAGTTCCTCTGAAGAAATTGTAGAAGTTATTGTGACAGTATTCCTTATTACTGATGTTCATTTTGCAGATGCAATTATTTCACAGTTTAAACACTGTTTCTCTGTGTGTGACAGCTATTGAGTCTGCTGCAAATATTTAGCTAAATTTTTCCTAGCTTTATTGCCTAAATTTTCAGAACAGCAAAGCTAAAAACAATGCTGCCTTCTTCCCTTTCCCTGCTAACA